TCCTCTCTTCGGGCCTCCCCTCTGCGCCACGCGGCCCCCGGGGCCTCCAGCCCTGCCCCACGGCTGATCCTGAACCGGCCCGGGACACCGCGGCCGGGAGCCCCTCCCGCCTCGGGGAACTGACCTGGACACCGAAGATGTCCTCACACTGGTGGCGTTTGAGCAGGGCCCACTCGGACATCTGGCCCTGCAGCAGGTTGGTGCAGACGGCCATCTCCCCGCAGGTCACGTCCGCCCCGAAGCGCTTGCACACCCGGCGGAAGGGCAGGTTCCCGCACTGGGGGCGGCAGGGACATGCCCATGAGAGGGGCTTTGGCTGCAGGAACCCGAACCCCATCCCAGCACTGAGACCCAGCAGGCGGGGACGGCCGCCGGGCACTGGCAGAGGGGCCACGCTGCCACCCAGCCCACCCCAGCTGCTGCCTTGGCCAGGTCTTACCGTGGTGAGGGGCGCCAGGTACAGTTTGCCACTGATATTCAGCTGGAGGGGGAAAAACCAGGCACGTGAGGCTCTACCCTCCAACCAGCCTCTGAGGCCCTGGGCCGCCTTTGTCCCCACAGTCTAGGACATGCCCTCACTGGCCTGGCCCCTTTATACCTGTGGGCCTCTGCACATGCCAGCCAACCCCTTTATAAGGAATGTTCTTTCCCCATATTCTCCTCCACTGGAGAGCTTCTACTCAACCATCAAAACCCCAGTCCCAATGCCTCCTCTTCCAGGAGACCTTCCAAACGACATCCCTCTGCCCAGCCCTGACCTTCTAGGACTGAGAGTGTGTCCCTAGCTGATTGGGGCTCCCTAAGGGATGGGCCCAGGGCAGACTACAGAGAGGGAGTCTCAGCCAGGAGTTTCTCAAGGGCACAGCCTCTGTTTCCCAGGCACCTAGAATAGGATCACGCACGTGGCTGGTGCCCAGTCAGCACGCACCGGATGGCCAGGTCTGCCACAGGCAGCGCCCTAAGCACAGCGCCTACAACACCCACCTGCTTTTTCTCACAGGGCCGCGGCCTAACTACGTCCTCATCCGTCAGGGGCCCACAGGTCCGAAGGGGGCTGTCGGGAGGGCTGCCGCTGCGGGGCCCTGCCGTGACCTGCTGGTCACAGTTGCTCTGCCCCGGAGCACCCCTCGGTCGCGGCGACCGCGGAGGTGACCTCGGGGGCGGCGGCGGGGGGAGGGCCGCGTGGCGGGTCCCGGCTCATCTCACGCATGGCCTGCTCGGCGCGCTCGAAGCGGACCTTGCGTTTCCGCAGCTGCTGCTGCAGGGCCTTGTCCAGGCCGTTGCGCACAGGCGGGGGCGGGCCACAGCCGCCCGCCAGCTGCTCCCGCACCAGGTTCTGGCCCTCGGGCCCCAGGTGGGCCCCGGCGAAGCGGCAGGTCACGCCGAAGGGGCAGCGGCCGAAGGTCTCGAACAGCACACAGCGGGGCCCCAGGTCAGCGGGCTTGGTCTCCAGGTAGCGGCCCACGTCGTGCAGGAAGCGGCAGCGGTCGCCGAAGAAACACTTCGCGGCTGACTCCTGCAGGGAGGCAGGGAGGTCGCCAGCAGGGAGAAGCTGGGACAGGCCGGGCTGGATCCCCAAACCATTCCTCCTGGCTACGTCCTCGGGCAAGTCGGTAACTGCCCTGGGTCAGTGTCTTTGTCGTTATTTTTTCCTGAGTTGGAGTCTCACTCTGTTGCCCAGGCTGGAGTGCAGTGGCTCCATCGCAGCCACGGTAGCTGCGTTCAGGTAATCCTTCCACCTCAGCCTTCCAAGTAGCCTGGTGTCTTCCTCTTAATAAGAATGACATCAAGCCAGGCTCGGTGGCTCAGCCTGTAATCCCGTGCCTTCCGGAGGCTGAGGTGAGTGGATGGCCTGAGCCCGCGGGTTCGAGACCCGCCTGGGCAGGCGAGACCTCATCTCTACAATAAATAAAAAATTAGCCGGGTGTGGTAGTGCGTACCTGTAATTCCAGCTACTTGGAAGGCTGAGGCGAAAGGATCGCCAGAGCCCAGCAAGTCAAGGCTGCGGTGGCCAGGAGCGGCCACTGCACTCCAGTCTGGGCGACAGAGTGAGACGCCAACTCAAAAAAAAAAAAAGAATGACGTCAAATGGCCGGATGTGGTGGCTCTTGCCTGTAATCCCAGCACTTTAGGAGGCCAAGGTGGGAGGATGGCTTAAGGCCAGAACTTCAGGACCAGCCTGGGTAACATAGTGAGACTCTGCTTGTACAAAAAAAGTTTTAAAAAAATTAGCTGTTGATGGACAGCAGACATTCTTGCTGCTGTCCTGCCTATTGTGTCTTTCAATGTATCTTTCCTTTAATAAAACTACCTTAAAAAAAAAAAAAAAATGAGCTGTGGGCCGGGCTCGGTGGATCAGCCCATAATCCCAGCAGAGGCTTGCAGGTGAGTGGATTGCCTGAGCCCACAGGTTCAAGACCAGCCCAGGCAACTTGGCGAGACCTCATCTCTACAATAAATAAATAAATAAACTCGCCGGGCGCGGTAGCGCACGCCTGTAGTTTCGGCTAATTAGAGGTTGAGGCAGAAGGAACGCCTGAGCCCAGCAGGTTGACGCTGAGGTGGCCGTGAGCATGCCACTGCACTCCAGCTTGGGTGACGGAATGAGACTCCAACTCCAAAAAAAAAATGTTTAGCTGTGTGCAGTGGCTTTCACCTGTGACCCCAATACTTTGGGAAGTTGAGGTGGGAGGATTCCTTGAGCCCAGAAGATGGAGAACAGCCTGGGCAACAGAGCAAGACCCCATCTTTACCAAAAAAAGAAAGAAAAAGAACAGCAATACTTATATCATGATATAAGGAAGTTGAAGATCGAAGGACAGCAAAGAAAAGCCCCTGGGACCTTCTAACAATTACCCAATGCCAGAAAACACAACCTGCCCCGGCCTATCGGGCAGGAACGCTCATGCGGCCACCCTCACCTGGATCAGCGAGGGGCACAACCTGTTCTTGTCGTAGTGCGTGGGCTTCACGTGGGGCCGGCCCTTGTTCTGGCCCCGGGCCCTCTTCTGAGCCTGCAGCCGCTCCCCGCGCTCAACTGCCTCCCGCGTCTGCCTGTCCCCCGTCTGCCTGTCCTCCTCCTGCCCATCCTCCGTCTGTCCATCCTCCAGTCGGATCCGCTTGGCCTCAGGCTCAGCCAGGTCACTGCCACCAGAGTCTCTGGCCTCGGTTTTCTGGCAAGGCTTCTTCTCCTGCCCATTGGCTTCCAGGAATTTGTGAAACTGCTCCTTGGTGGTGAGGTATCTGCCAACAGAAAGGGACAGGAAAGGAGGGCATGTCCAGGGAGTCGTCCCTCTGAGCTCAGACCCAAGGAACATGGGAAAGGGGACTCAGAACACTTGCTCCTGCTTAAATGCTTCTGCTGATGAGGAGCTCACTACATGAAATTATCCAATTCCCAGTCCGGGAGCACCTCAAGGCCTCAGGGAGGACCGATTTTGCCCCTGGGTCCCCACTACCTGAAATGTGGCACCAAAAATTTAGGTTAGCAGGTAGGAGCATATCTGCATAGGTTAGATTAGGGAAAACTAGAAATCCCAGCATGCCTTGCAGCGGAGTCCGAGCAGCCACATTTCCCAGCACGCCTTGCGGCCTCACAAACACCGCAAGCCCCAGCATGCCCCGCGGCGCTAGCTTCAAAGTCCAACCTGTAACTGCCGCTGGAGGGGCACACGCGCCATACGTCCATGCGCAGGGACTACAGTCCCCAGCATGCACTGCGGGCCTCGCCTCAAACCCCACCTGCCCCAGCTTGCACGTGGTATCTTTCGCGCATGTGACAGCCCTCAGCATGCACGCTCTCAAGTACCTCCGCTGACCACCCTGCAGGCGGAGGAACGGCCCGGACAGTAGAGCCAGACAGCTCCGCTCCCTAGGCCGCTGCCTAATTTCCCAGCAAGCACCGCTCGGGCCGCGCTACGGGGGCCGGGAAGGCCCCACCGGTTCTCTCTTGTCCCGGCGACTCACTGAGGTTTAATAGGCGCCACTCCTCGTTCTGACGCGCCCGCTCCTGAGTCGACGCCACCACCACTCTCTTTTGGAGCCTCCGCCTCTCCCTCCGCCATCAGCACCCCTCACGCCCGCTCTGGAGTGTGGCGGGAAGGCCTTCCGGGTGGTGCGTGTCTTTTCTGGCTTGACGGGGAAGTGCGCATGCTCGGGTCGCTCCAATGACGCCATTGGGCGCGCGTGACGTCACGGCCGAGGGGCGGCGCCTGGGCGTGGGCGGGCCCTCAGAGCCTATATAAGTCAGAGCTCCAAGTGCCCCCACGGGCGCTGCAACGCGGGCACCGGAGTTGGGGGGGCTCCCCGCAGGGCTCTGCGATCGATAAATGCCACTACTTTTCCGCGGCGCATTCATTCAACAGACAGTCTGTTCGTCGCCTGTGCGCCAGATAGGGCGGTGAACCCCAAACAGGCAAATCCTCGCCTTTGGGAGCTAACACGGGAGGGGGGAACGCCGACAAAAGCCACAAGCCGAGGGGTCTGTCCCGGGATCCCCCCATCCCGAGGTCTCGCGGTCCCTCGCCCCGCGGAGACGGGGAGCCCACCCTATTTCTGACATCCGCTCCCGGTCGGACCCGCGCGGGGCAAACCCACGTTCTTCTAGGGTCACCTGCACGCCAGCACGCAAGTCGCAGGTTGCACGGTCACGAAGCAGGCGAGGGCACTGGGAATGCCAGCCTCGACCGGGGGCCCCGGAAGGCTTCGCGGAGAAGGTCGCGTGGGAGACGATCGGGAGGAAGAGAGGGCGAGGCCCGGGCCGACGTCAGCGGGGACAAAGCCTTCCCGGCGCGCGGGGCGGGCGCCCGGCCCCCGGCATCGCCGACGGGGAAGCCGCGGCCCGAAGACGGGGGGGAGAGGCCCGGCCTCTTAGAGGAGCTCGGGGAGGGCGTCGTGGCTGGGGCAGAGGCGGAGAGGGGCAGAGGGGGGGAGGCCCGGGGGGCGACGGGGCCGGCCATGCGGGCCT